CCAATTTGACAATAGTTTTTTTTTTATTTAATAGAAATAATAATGGCAGGTTGAACCAACAAGAAGGTTTTAGTTTATCAATCATAATCATCTTCTTGATAAGATAAATCGTCAAACAACTTTGAATACAAAAACTAATACAAAATGCCTATTTATCACCAAAATTGGTAAATGTATGTACCTAAATGTCTATTACAGCTGCTATGGAATGTATCTAGGTGACCTGGAGATACAGCCGGATTATACAGGGTGGTTATACATATGGAACGATAAGTGATCTCACTCGATTATTTCTAAACTATACAAGATATCGAAAAACTAATTACTGATTCTGAAAGTGCTTCATGAGCTCTTTCAAATGGTACCAATAATAGGTTACAGATTATGGAAGGTGGTAACATTGAATTTTTGGATTTTGTAACTTCTTGTTTCCACCCTGTATAATCCGGCTGTAGTATCTCCAGGTCACCTAGATACATTCCATAGCAGCTGTAATAGACATTTAGGTACATACATTTACCAATTTTGGTGATAAATAGGTATTTTGTATTAGTTTTAGTATAAGGCCTGAACAAAAACATAGGTTAATATTTTGGTGTTATACATAGATTTCGAATATAAAAAATATATAATTTAACTAATTAAGACATGACAAAAAAAATGAGGTATGTCTCGTTTCTGTCGGGCCTGGGTCACAGATGACCGTTCTTCTTTGAAAAAATCTCAAAATTAACGATAACTTCTAAACTATGAAAAATCGTAGAACATACATGGGGGTGAAATCGATAGGTCTAGTCCTCACCTATCACCTGCCTTCGGCTTGACACCTTACAAGAAACACCCTGTATACATTATATTTTGAAAACATTTTCCATTTTCCAATTTCACTCATTACGAAAATTCATCAAAATTGCAGCAACTTATTGAATTGTATTGAAAAGGCAAAAGCCAAAATCAATAGAGTTTCCTATGTACTTGTAAATATTTGTACCTATAGGTCCGTTCATCCACAAAGCGAAACACGTTAAAAACCAATTAAATCAAATTGCAATCACGCTTCCTTTTGAAAACATGTAGCGAATCATTTTAGTTCGAAATTTGTACCAAAACGATTTCGCAAAGTGAAAAAAAGAAACGCTAACTCATCGTAGGTATAGATGTCTCTACGTGGAAAGGTTTAGGAAAAAGTATCCAGCAAAAATCTCTTGTGTACAGTTTGTAGTGGACAGAAAACTAATAAAAAGGAGTGCAAAATAGAAAACTTACCTTTAAAAGACTGATGCCCGTCACTTAAAAATTAGGGATTGATGGTGAAAACGGGCATGATTAGACTAAAGCTAGAAGATAACGATTTTAACCCACTATCTTTAAATTAATGTTCGCTTGCTTATTGTAATCCTCGAAATTAACTATAAATTGGTGTTCATATTATCGATAAGAAGTAAAGTTTTTGTTTACATTGATTTAACCGCCTCTGTGGTCTAGTGGTTAGACCACCTGCTTCAGACGCAGAGGTCCCGGGTTCGATTCCCAGTGGGGGCAGATTTTTCTGTTCGGTTTGGTTGGTGGTAGGGCTTGTTCTAAGTCCGCCTGGCTAGCTACCACCATCTTACCTAAGTCTGTCGCCATAACAACAATGTTAACAGCATTGTTGTGTTCCGGCNTTTCAAAAGGTAATATGTGCTCGCGATTCGTTGAAGGAATCAATTTGAAAACTGACGAACCTTTTCATTCCGTGACTGTAGGTACATAATAAGATATTCTATTTCTACTACTTACTAATAAAAACTTTTTGCTCTTACATACTTATACCTACTTATATACATTATATTTTGAAAACATTTTCCATTTTCCAATTTCTCTCATTACGAAAATTCATCAAAATTGCAGCAATTTATTGAATTGTATTGAAAAGGCAAAAGCCAAAATCAATAGAGTTTCCTATGTACTTGTAAATATTTGTACCTATAGGTCCGTTCATCCACAAAGCGAAACACGTTAAAAACCAATTAAATCAATTTGCAATCACGCTTCCTTTTGAAAACATGTAGCGAATCATTTTAGTTCGAAATTTGTACCAAAACGATTTCGCAAAGTGAAAAAAAGAAACGCTAACTCATCGTAGGTATAGATGTCTCTACGTGGAAAGGTTTAGGAAAAAGTATCCAGCAAAAATCTCTTGTGTACAGTTTGTAGTGGACAGAAAACTAATAAAAAGGAGTGCAAAATAGAAAACTTACCTTTAAAAGACTGATGCCCGTCACTTATAAATTAGGGATTGATGGTGAAAACGGGCATGATTAGACTAAAGCTAGAAGATAACGATTTTAATCCACTATCTTTAAATTAATGTTCGCTTGCTTATTGTAATCCTCGAAATTAACTATAAATTGGTGTTCATATTATCGATAAGAAGTAAAGTTTTTGTTTACATTGATTTAATTAACTTTTTATTTGGTAACTTTTGGACTTTGACACTTTGTACCTACGATTCTAAAAATCGATAAATAATATTTAATAGTCTATATTTTACCTATTGTTGCCACTTTTTATCTTGATTATATCTGCATAATTATCTAAGATATATTATCTTTTTAGGACTACCCAGAACATATTTGGTTTATAAAATTACAACTCATCACAACACGTTAATATTCATATTTTGTAGGTATGTCCAAATGATTACAAATAAAAATGTAGTCGAATCCTTTCATTACTCTTTCAGGCACTTTTTTTAGGAGGAATTTAATTTACAAGAACTGAATGTAAGTTAATCTAGGTAAGATAAGAAAAGACTTGATCTAAAAAAATCTTTCTGATTACAATTTTCCAAACTTAACCCACTCTACAATACGATTGCTTCCTACTCTATGATTTTGCGATGCTGCCTTCATTACTAAAATTCGCCAGTGTGAGTAATTTGATCATCGTCCCAGTATTAATGTAGGCTAACTAACTGCTGTTGATAATGGCAATAGCTAATGTAATACATATTAAATGGTGCAATTACCACTCGTGTAGTTAGTGGAATTAATTTAAAAGGCAACTTGAATTAAATCATTATGTTTGTTTGTTGATCAGACTACTTTAGCAGGAAACAAAAGAGCTTTTTGTAGCGATGCAGTAGCGCTGCTGTAGCGCGTTGGCATCATTTCTGTAGTGCGTTGCAAATGCGACTACGCGCGTTAGTAACGATGCTGTCGCGCGTTAGTAACGATGCTGTCGCGCGTTAGTAACGACGCTGTCGCGCGTTAGTAACGAAGCTGTCGCGCGTTAGTAACGGTGCTGTCGCGCGTTAGTAACGTTGCTGTCGCGCGTTAGTAACGATGCTGTCGCGCGTTAGTAACGATGCTGTCGCGCGTTTCGTAAAAGCATAAACAAAAAGTCGGCGTAAGCGAGGGCCGTGAGACTTCATAGTACTCGTAGTTTGTAGATAATATAAATAGATTTTTTTTTCAGAAAAGGCGTAATAAATATATTATGTACTTCTTCTTCTTAAACATTCTTCCTAAACATGTAGCGACCTCAAATAAATTGTCGTTTTGACGGATTAAAACTTTACCTCAGTCAAGGTCTTCCACCTTTTTTACTTTTTTACTTTATTACGTATTTTTTTAATTAATTTGAAAAAAAAAAAACTATACGTGTTTAATTGTTTATGTAAATAATTGTTTTTCAGATTATAGTAAACGCAGACTACCATCTACACAATTTATTTACGATGATTTATTTTTAACAATTTTGCACGTAAACTATGTTGCAACAATATTTTTGTAGGTAGGTATGAGACGGATATTATTTTTCGACTTCTCAAATACAAAATATAATATCATGCGCAATTCATACAGTACTCCATTGTCTCCGAAGCTAACTTTAAGACAATAGTTCAAAGTTCTTATATCGTCTCAAATCTACACAAAAATGCTAAGAACACACAAAAAACTGTTTGTTCAATGAATTTTTCTTTTCGAGAATGTGTTACTAGCTTACTTACAAAAGTAGAGAAAGGTCTGTAGAACTGAATAGAGTGCCATGATAAGGCCCTGCAATGATACTTAGAGTAGGCGCACACCGTTGATTTTTAGTTGGCCGATAGTTGTGCCCGATTTCAATTTGTATGAAGAATCGGCCAAATCGAATCGCGGCGTAGTATGCGCACTCCCATACATGCCCGTACTGATCAACTGCCCGACTAAACTATCGGCCGACGAAAAATCAACGGTGTGCGCCTACTCTTAATGTGCAGAAATAGATTCGAAATTGAGTTGAGATTGATCTAAATATTGATGTTTCACCAATTACAGGCATGTTTGAGTTGAAATAGACTTTGGAGGGACATTTCTGATTATGAGTTATAGTGTTAGAATGGAGAGATCTGGAAAAGTCTGTAGCCGTTCAGTGGAAAGTAATAGTGTCATAATAAGTATATTAGGCGGCAAAATATTTGCCTTAGCAAAGACATTTTCAAGTTAATTTTTGAATATGGATTTTCAGTAATTTCCCCACGCAAATCCAACAATTTCACCAAAACTGACACATTTATTTTTTAATCAGACAAGCAATGTAAATTGCATAGTAGGTATCAATAAAATAATGCGTTACTTAGTGTTTTTAATTAAGTATACATACATTCGCGTTCCACAAATGAAACAATTGTTTTACAATAGGTGTGAAACACCTGTGTTATGAATCTATTTAGTTATGAGTTTTCTAAAATATAAATAATTTCCGCCAACATCCCAGAAAATTTTATAATTTAATGTCACACTAATTTTACTTCTATGAATTTCTGTCACCGTTCTTTAAAATTTAAAGAATAACGCTGCTAGACCATTCAAATAGAAATATTTTACTGATAATCCCATTTTTGCAACAATAAAACACTGTAAATATCACGAAACACTAATAATGCACAGTGATAATACTTATTGCCTATTTCGCGTACCAACCAGCACGTTTTGCAATGAAACTAAGTTTTAACTTTTTACAAATTAACTCACCTCGGTTACAAAATCCAATGCAAAAGTGTTAACAGCACTGTGTCACATGTAACACAAACAGCACTATGCACTTTTAGTTTTTCGCGATGTATTGAGTAGTTCGGAGTTCGCGCGGCGCACTCGTGGCCCGGTACGCGGCAGGCGGCGGCTGAGGCGGCAGAACGACTACGCGGGAGAAGCATCTTTACGCTACGGCTAGACGCGGCTACATTGACAACCCCGGACATTTGCGGAAAGCTTGCTGCTAAAAAATTTTACCCTATATCTTGTACTTGTTAGTGGGTTGGTCACTGAGTGTTTTTCTACCAACTACAACCATAGAGTCTTTAAAAAAGCGTGCAACTTGCTAAGAAAAGACACGTACTTGCAAATCGTTTGGCGTTACGATTTACACTTGGGGTAGTTTACTTAAGTACCTTGCTACTTATTATAAAAAACTTTAATGGAAAAACAACACCAAAATTTCCTGTCTCAAATCAAGCGTCATCAATAGATTTCACACTTTCCTAATTATAATTCATTATTCAATATTTCTAGAAAATTTTGAACCTAGGCATTCTTGACATCAGTGTTTGCGTAAGAAAATACGGTAATACCACAGAATAATAATAAGTACCTACTGTAATACTTGTTTACGTAACAATTGTTAATTGTGTTCGATTATGCTTACGTTGACAAGTTTCAAATATTGTCTTTTAACGTAGGTATTGCCATCGATTGTAGCGGAGGTCGAAAACCTTGTTCAGTTTCGAGGAAACCAAATAAAAAACTGAAAAAAGTTTTAGGTAATTACAGGTTAGATTTTCAAGTTGTGTATAGGTATAACTACAAATTTATAAAGTGGCAAGTGTTAAAAAACTATACCTATTATGTTGTTTTCATATTAGGTGCCAGTCATCAACACACGTGTAATTTGTATCAAGAAACTTAGTATAATCTGAAAAAAATCTATTTCCAGGATTTCGTAAAGGCTGAAAATCACATATCTCTTTTTAATGTAGTATCTATGCATGTGCTTGCTCGTGATAACAATCTTACCCACGGGGTGCATATGCGATCTACGACGGAAAGACCTCCCCAGAAGGTGCCTGCTCACTCGTGTGACTTGAAAGCAATTAAAAGAAAAAATACTTATCTGATTTTAATATTTATCCGGATCGGGTTTGGTTTTCCTTATTGAAAACAAAAGGAAGGCTCACCAATATTACAGTCAAAATTAACAAAGTCATTTTCTTTGATCTGATGTAATAAATTCTCATTTATAACGAATTACATGGTAGAGCGCTTTCGATGAATATATTATGCCTCTGACGGGATTCGAACCTGCAAGCTGCCGTTGTAGTCAGGACGCGAACTACTAGTTAATCGTATTTATAACTTAATGACTCCGTCTGCGTGAGCCCAGACTGTTTTCTATATTTACCATCTATTAGATCATATTCGATTGATATTTTGTACAGTCAGCAGAACAAACTTAAGATGAAATATCTCCCGTCTTCGCACGACTGACATCTGTTATCCCTGAATCAGTGTTACCACAATTTGTCAAATTCGATAAGTTATTTTTAAAAGATTTATAAGTCATGAATGTTTACCTATTACAACTAGGACAATTTCTAGTTGTAATAGGTACTAAGGGTGATTTAAGATTTTGGAACACTAATCTGATGTGTTGTTGGTAGATTACGTATATTACGTTAGTGGATGTAGAGTCACGAGGATATAAGATCTCAGAAATTTTACTGTCGTACGAATTATTTCTGTTGGTGGTCCGGATGAGCTAAAGTTAGTAGAGTATATTTGACTCGTATTGACTCGTGCCCTGCAATATTGATGTTACAAGGTTATAACTTTATTTTTTGTAACACCGAGTTCCTTTTTACGCTGACTGTACCTTTGTACAATGTATTTGGACGAGAGACGTGGTTTGGTGATATTATCAAATTATATGAACGTTTGGCCTATTTCTATTGAAAATATTGACTCCGACCGAATCAACAGCTGAAATTAACAGTTTATTTTTAACTTTCTAAGTACAGAAAGGTAGTTCGGGTGAATGTTTCGTACTTTATTTTTCACAAGATTGAAGAGCAAATTCCCTAGAAATAAGTCTCTATAGTCAACACGCATCTATAATATAATATATGGTTTCATTATTTATAATATTATAGCGTTCAAGAAATCAATTTATAATAAATCATTCTATTTTAATTGCAACTGAACCTTGCCCTTAAGACAAGGTAGCTGGTTCATAATTTATGCGCATTTCACATTAGCGTTATTCGATGCAATAATGCATCGATTGTCCGCTGATACGGAAATAACAGGACCCTTATAATCGAAATATTGGTAATTAATCGATGGCAATTTATAGCAAACTGATTAGGACCATGTATTACAAACATAATAAAGATAATTTATATTTGTTAATCTCGGAAATGAATGCTCCGAACTGAATGACACATATTTCGGTCTCTTTGAAAAACATTATGTAGTTTTTTCTTAAAGGATGAATGTAATTTTCATCCGTCATCCCAATATTCCGTTACACACAAAACTCGTTAATCCTACACGAATGTAGGCTAATCCTCAGAGAACACGTTTTCAACATAAAATCAAAATTAGTGTTGGTGTGCGAAACGTAACACGGGGTGGCCAAAAGTTTAATCATATTAATATAGTATTACATAGAATTCGTGCTCGTTGGTTTGTTTGTGGATATCAGTCAAGTTGAAACTGAACTTTTAAATTTTTACGTACAAAGAAAACTAATGCCCATTTTCACCATCAATCCCTAATTTTTAAGTGACCCCTTTGAAAAGAAAATTCCTGTTATGTGTTACCATAGGGGTCACTTAAAAATTAGGGATTGATAGTGAAAAGATTGATAGTGAAAGCGGGCATAAATATCAGGGTTAGGTATGTTGCCTACAGTTGATTGTGATTTAAATGACGTTAATCCACAATCAACTGTACATAACACTGCAGACATTATGTGGGTATGTAAATGACATAAGTGCATGGATTTTACCTGCCTAGCTCGCATTTATTACATATCTTGTAAATTGTGTTTCCTGCAATAAATGAGAGGCTGACAACTAAGGCTGGGTTGCACCATCTTACTTTAATTTTGACAAACGTCAAAAATCTGTCAAACTCTATACAAAAAACACCGGTTATCGTTATAGTAACGGTCAAAGTTAGGTGGTGCAACTGAGCCTAAGTATTAAGTGACAAGCTGACTGAATTCCTTACGCAACATCATAACAATAATTGGTAGGTAGGTACCGGTGGTAAATGGTGGATAAATATTTAACAAATGAAAATATATTCTTTTAGAATACCTACCTATTTTGATTTTATTTCAGAAAGATAGTCAGGAGGAAAGATATAAAGAATAAGATCCAGTTTCTTAAGTAGATACCTATTGTGCAACTTCTTACTGCAAGTGTAAGTGAAACAGTGGGCGAAGGCTAGTGAAACTAAAATAAAATCACACACAAAGCTAGAAAGAGTACCTAATAAATGTTTCGTAGTCAGCTGTCACTATGTTGAGTCAATCCAGAGGACTTTGCTCTTAATACACGTTTGTCTTTTACACGTCCCATTACTTTTGTTGTTGTGATGGAATGAACTCGTGTCACCCACCGTTATTCAACGAGGTCTTGTCAGCGCTGATACAAAAATACAGGGTAAACGGAACATAAACTTTAAAGTTTTATAGAAGTTTGTGTATTTTGTGCAGTCAAGCCATAAAGCGCTTTCAGCTGAGATCTTCAGCGGGTGCCCGTTATTGCTATTGCACATTTTTACTGAATGTCTGATGTTGAGGTTAAGAAATCATGTTTGAAGGACGACTTCATACATTTGTTTGGTGCAATTTATTACTAGTATAATAAGTATTTATTTATTTGTCTTGAACTTACCGTATTTAATTAGTATATCAGTGAAATAGTAACTATCTTACACAGCTCCTTAACTGTTATTCGTTTGTGTTCTCGTTTCCACAGATATAGTTTTTTAGATTCCATTGCGATATAAATACATAATTTTATGCGAAGCATAAAAAGCTTTCATCAACTTATAAAACGCGAATGCAGTTCTTTTACATGCATATTTATAGATGCCATCAATTTCTTTTATTTATGATAAATATTCGTTTCCCAAAGGATGAGCGGTGTCATTTCTCTTTGTTTAGCACCAAATAGACTATTAAAAGTAAAATTACATAAAAATATCGAATATACAGTGTTAGGTAAATAGTAAGTAGGTATATGAAGCCGTCATTAGTCAAAAATGATGATATCAAATTTTTGACTTCACCATACTATTTAAGTATAATTATTATTATGCATAAATGTTAACATGGGCTAGTGTCGGCTTGATATTTACCTAATAACACCCTGTATAATAACATGGCTTTTATATCACGTGTAGGTGTATATTGAATGAGTTACATACGTATGTTAGATTCTCAAGGTAATAAGCATAATATTTTTTAAATGGGACTTGTCATGCAATTCCGAACTTTATGAGTTTGTAATCGGTTCTAAAACTCTTGAATGCAGTTTTAAAACGTATGCACAAGAAAAATACATGATTTTGCATTTTGTTGTTTGTCGCTTATTTTTCCAGACATTAAAGCAGTTATTTTAAGTTCGATTAGTTTAAACAATTAACATTATTTGGCTAATGTGCAATTTTGCATGTCGACCTTTGACACTGTCTGAGATTCCGATTTTATTTCCTCTACCTATGCATATCACGTTACATAGTTTGTAATTTTAAAAGACTGTAAGTATTTAATATTTTAAAAATAATATTATTTTACACATTTTCAAAATGAATATTTTATTGTTAACAACGAATAATATTTTTTGGAGCAATTAAAAATGCTATGATAATTAAAAGAGTCAGCATTTCATCNTTCAGGGGTATCTGGGATAATTCATCAATAAATCATATTGGAATCGTGCAGATCCTATTAGGAAAATTTTCATTTAAATCAAGCATGAGTAATGTATGGAATGATTTTAATTAATATCTTTATCATAATACGAAATTACTGTGAAAAATGAACTTTATTCAAGTTCAAGAATAATTTCAACTCAATGTTTTGAGGCGTTTTACAACTTTGATTTGGAATATAACT